GTGTCTGATACCACTTCCATGTAAGAGATCCAAGAAAGCAGAAGTCATTCATGGCTACAAACTTGACAACCTTAATGCCCTGATATAGGGACCAAGAGCGTGCGCTAGGTCATTTCAGCTTGCTTTTGAACAGAAAATTTTCAGAGTTTCCAGTTTATTAACACCAGAAGATTTGATCCCCCATTCTAGAGTCCCAAGAGCAAAAATAAAGGGGAGGGATTTGTTTATAATCTCCTTAATTTGGGCCTTCATCTTTTGAGACTCTGCATCATCTCCTCAGACTCAGGGTCCAACAGCAGCAGCAGTCACAGAGAGTTTTGCTCCTGTGCAGCCAAGCAGCAACTTTCCAGATATGAGGAAGAAAATCTTGGGCCTGTGCTAGGACATGACTATGGCTAGACTTTCCCTCTGGAGTGAACTCAGCCTAAGGCCCATACCAGTGCATGTACTTACATATAAGTAATATGTATGGTATGTGAACCTGGACTTGAGAGCTGTCTTGGGCCCTTTTTTGCCTGACTAGATGTATCCTTTATGATTTGGTACCAGAGAGAGAAAATCTCCCCTGGTAATTCTGCAGTAATGTAAGCCCTACTTGGAGAAACACCATCTAACTTTGGAATTCCCCTGTGGGGAGTCTGGGCATTTATCTTAATCTGGAGCATCAAGAGCTGTCCATTGGAAAAGGCAGGACACACAAATTCCCAGGGTAATAATCTGATACAGCACAGCAAAACCTATATCCTTGGAGCAGATTGTGGGAAAGCATCAAGATTTTGGTTGCTCTGCCAAAGCAAACAAGATGTTTCAAGCCCCATCATCTGCTCTGCAGTTCACACCCTTCCAGTGCTATCTTTTTCAGATGCCATGCCACACTGGTTAGTGGCAATGTTGTTGTCATGTGTGACTCATTCCATTTTACTGGAAATTAGAAAACCACATGCTGCACTGAAGAACTGCTTATTTATGTAGTCATATCATCCCAGAGAGCACTCCTCCTGCCATTATTTGTATACAGATTATTTTAGAATTTTGGAAATACAGCTCTACCAGGGTTCATCCAGAGGACAGATTAATCAATAGCACATTGCTCTTTACAGGGCCTGTTGAGCCCTTTATAATTTCCAGTGCCACCCTGAAAATGCAAATGGTATTTTAGAACAGAGTATCTTCGTCATTACAGGATGTGTGGGAAGCAAAACAGAACAGATAGCAGTGGGATTGGAGGTGCGTTAGCAGAAGAGTCTGTCATGTATTTATTTCTGCTTTAGGCAGGTGAATTTCACCCAAAAGGAACAACAGAATCTACTTGGCCTTGTTTATTTTGTTTTGGTTTTTTTTTTTTGGTTTTTTTTTTGGTTTTTTTGATGGAGTGCTTTATAAACCCTCAAATATTTCCTGAAGATTACCATGGTACATTTACTGTAGTGATTAGTGATCACTATGAGTGAGATGAACTGGTATATTCAGGACAATAAAAAAACGCAAAGAGATGTCAACAGTGCATTCTTTCTGTGGATTAAGAATTATTAGATAAAAAATTTAATGCTTTTAACCATCATTTTATGGTCACAACAAATCAGGCTGGCTAACTTTGAGTTCTGAAGCATAGGTCTGGAATTACATGTGATTTAGAGAACAATATCCTATATTATGAGTTTTCTAGTCCTCATAAAATTAGTGTTACTAAAGCAGGAGCACTAGGATCAAAAGTCAGATTTGATTGTGCGCTGACAGGCAAAGGCTGACCCCAACAAATTCCTAAACTAAGAGATTGCATTACCCTCTACAGATAGAGATAAATCCGGTCTTATCTTTAGATGAAGAAATTGTTAAGAATATTCAGGCACCAGACATTTATGAAGAAAGAAAATAGAAATGTGAGCCATTGTTTTTTAAAGGTTAGCATAGCTTAAACATTCCTGAAAATATTTATTGTCATAACAGACTAGACCTGCTGAAATGTTCTCACTTAGGATTTGGTCTCTGACGTTCTCAGCAATCCTGTTCACTTCAGCTGGATCAAATGGCTGCCACTAAAAGCAGAATTTAGCAACGAAGAGGAAAAGACACCAAGTAGCTAAAGACCATTTGGAAAAAGACGTTTGCTTTCAGTGTTACTGCTACCCCTCAGGACCCAAATTAGAGTTCTGTTATATTTTAAAGCACTGCTTTCAAGCTTGCTGGAAGTGTCAGACAATTTGAATAGATCTCCATTTTAATTTCCAATCTAGCAATATGGAACAGCTGCCATAACTTTGTGCAACGTGGCAAATTTGACATCTTCATTCCTCAAACGACAATCATCGAGAAGGGACTCTGAAAAAAGCATAATGCTTCCATTTTTACTGCCTTTGAGTAACTGCCAGTCAAAATTGTACTTCAGATAAAGAACCCAAACCCTCAATTGTACTTTTAACTTGCACTGCCTATATCAGGAAGCAAAGGTGCTGGGTAAAAGTTGATGGGATTTCTAGAACTTTTTTTCTCCCACTTCCAGCCAGTGAGCTGGAGGTTTGTTCATATCCTTCTGACTTATGTATCTGGATCACTGTTAAAGGTTCCCAGTCAGGACTTCCCCCACAGCTGTCGTGGGAAGATGTAATGGAGCAAGCCCCAGCTCAGCCTCACCCAATCTGCCTTGCCAAAGCCTCCCAGCTTCTACAGCTCTGGCAGCTGGAGTGAGAGTGTGAACTGAAGTGTGTCACCCTCATGCTTTTCCTCCTTCCTAGCTGAGAGAAAATGCTGTAAGGAAGATGGAAATAACAATTATTATAGTCTTCATTTTTGTTTTTCAGACAATGTTAACTCAAGAATGAAAATTGAATCCAGAGGAAATGCACTTTGGGAGTCAGATGAAAATCCTTAGCAATGTGCCCCGCTCTGGGACTGTCTAGACTAGGACAAAGGCAGGTCAGCCACATTCAAGGGAATTTGTGTGTATGGGATATGGAACATTGCTAGGGAAAACCCCATGCTACATACAGTTGGAGAAGGAATATCTCTTTAGAGTTCGGTAGCATGGATGTGTTGGTCTTGTTCCAGGAACAATGTCCCATCTAGCTCACATTTTGTATTCATTCATAGATTATATATTGTGTGCATTTAGACAAAGCTACCTCCCACTCTCCTCCTTAATTCTGAACAGAAAACTCCAAGGAGTTTTGAGACTCATCGTGATGTCACCAATGCACCAAATAAGAAGAAACAGAAACATCCAGCAGAGATCCTGTTGCTCTAGGATGGACTATTTTTTTTCTATAAAAATAAACCCCGATTTAAAAGTCTCTGGCATGTCTGATTTCAATTGCTAAATCAACATCTCTATTCTCGTTTCTGCAACACTTCTCTACTACCAAGTTTGTGGTTTCTTGCCTTCCACGACAGAACCAGTTTCCGACCCTGAGATTTCCTCCCTTCAGTAGTCTACATTTCTCACGAAACTCAATCTCCAAACATGAAACCAACTCTCACTAATCTGTTTTCTATTATCAGGATACTCACAGGTACATTTACCTATTAGGGAGGACACACACATGTGTAGCATGGATGTCTCTTACTTGAGTTTGCCTCTAGCAGTTGCCATTTGAAACTGAGAAAGCAGAACAGAAACATTAAGGTCAGCATTTTCCAAATGGACTCCAACTTTGGATGGCTTACTTGATATCATTTCCAGTCAATATGAATTATTTCTTCACAAATCAGATTTTATCACACCTTCTACTGCAGTCAACTGAGATCCCAAGGGAACAGGCTAAGAACAATAGCTAACACAGAAAGGCAAATAGGGCAGGTTAACTACATTCCACCTCTGTTCTGGAGTGGTTGGACATGGCTGCATGGGACTGGAAGCAGGCTGCAAGCTTGTGTGACCACCTCCAGCACCTATTTCTATCATGTTGCATTTTCTTTCATTAATGGAGACTGTAAGTATTACTTTGAAACAAACAAACAAAAAATTATGTAAAGAAGTAAATATAAATCAAGCTGCAGTAAAGTGGAACCAGGACTCATTCGCCACCAGAGATGGAAGCTTTCTGTTTTGGAAGTTTGGCCATCAGCATACCTAAGGCTTTCTCCACATGCAGGAGGACCACAGCTCCCTGAGCTCAGTGGGAATCTGTTAAACCTGACACAGACACAGATGTCCTCTGCACAGCTCCTCTGGGTTACTACAGTTTTGCTTCTGGAAAGAGGCAATTACTACCCATTCTTACATTCCCTACAGTTCCTGCCAGTGTAGGTTGTGGACACTGGTGCCACAAACACATTAACTTCACCTGGCAATGAGCAATTCTCTCAGCCTGAGCGCATGCCAAGAGGAGCCAGGAGCCTAATCTGCTTGAGAAATTATAAGCCCTATTTTGCACTGAAACCCCTGCAGAAACAGCCCTCCCCCACTTCCTTCTCTGCTAGCTTGCTCTAACAGCAGGCAGACATAAGTGAAAGGAAAAACAATGAGAAAGGAAACTTGGGAGGGACAGGTTAGAAGCAGAAGGAAGAAGCAAAAGGTCTGACTCTGTGGACCATATTCATGATGAAAAGCATTTGCACAAATAACCTAATTGCGTTCTGTGGGACCGCCGGGCCGAGTAAAAGTGCTGCAAGTGCAAGCAACAATTGCAGAGGCAGGAAACAAGTGGGAAAAGAAAGAAAAAGGAAGGCCCACATGAATCAGACACCTGCACATAGGAGAGCAGTCTCATGCACCCCAGGAAAAACAAATCAACCAAAACACTGACTGCCTTTGAGTTACTGCAGAAGTATTTATAGTGCATTTCCTGACCTCTGCCTCGCTTCCTGGCAGGCAATGCCACAGAAAGAATCTTTACCACTGGCATCCCCTTCTTCCGCCAAACAAAAAAGAAGTCCCTTCCCAAAAGCCCAGCAGAGGCAGTAGGAGGGATCAGAGGGGCTGCAAGGTCAGTTTGGTCTTCACCTGGGGAAGGACGAGTGTCACCCCACACACATACCCAGAGGAGAAGCAGTAATACCGCAGAGGAGGGAGAGTGGGCATCTCTTCCTGCATGAGGAATTGGGGGACCAGCATTGACTCTGTACAGCTTACTCTCAGCAATGAATAACACAGGAGCCCAGGAGGTGATGTTTTCCAACAAAACCTTTGGTCTCTTCCAAATGGTCACTTCTGTCCTTTCTTTACAAAGCACAGTGAGACACTGAAGAGAATAGGATGTCCAGTAACTGCATTGCTCCTTTACGAGTAAGCTCTTTCAGGAATTCTCAAAACAGCTTCTGTGACAGAGCAATACTAAGCTTATAATTCTAGGTTTATACATCATTAAAATAATGCATTTATTTATCAAAAGCTTTCCTCCTAAAATGAAACGCTAGAGAGCAATCCAATCATTCCAATGAATACATGCATTTGAATTCTCGGGGCTCACAATAATTGGCACTTTTCAAAATGTTTCCAGTTAGGTTTGTCCATAAGCGTGAAAAAGAAAATCAAAATATGCCTCTCTGAGATAGGCTGATGTTTGTGAAACAAAACTATCAAATCAGGGAAATCAGGGACTGAATTCAAAGCAATGATGGTTTGAGATCATACATTAAAGATGACAGGATCTTTCTAAATCACCTCAAATATGAAACACTTGCAGCACTAACTCACAAACTTATCTGAAAAACACACACTACCACCTACTGGTAATTATTCATATATGTTATTTACATACTGATAAGTGGCAACAATATGTGCACATTTGTTTTGCATGAACTTTGCTAGAATAAAGATAATTCTTCATCTTCACAATTACTATTACAATTGTACTTGAAGAAAAATATATTTCTGTGGATGTAGTTCCCACAGTGTGTGACTAGTTATTTTCTTCTTTTCAATAAGAACTTGAGCTGGAATAGTGGTTTATTTAAGTACTTCAATGGGAAGTACCATTTAAGGTTGTTGCTTTTGTCAATAATGTAAGATTGGGGTTTTTGCTCATCCATAAGCTGGTAATGTGGCACCACCAGGCTCACAAACTTTGACATTTCACACCCACTGCCCTGGAAATGAGACATAAATTACAGTGGTGGAGTGGGACCAGGGAGGAGAACTGGAGCAAGTGCTGCTTCTAGGTATGACCTCTCTTCTGTCCCAGTCACACAGAAGCCTGGGAAAAGAAGGGCCATGGCCAAACATCTTCTCGAGTAATTCCTTGCCTTTTGCTGCATTTCTCACCTTCTTGCCCTAAGGTTCACAGTGATGCCACAGAAACATCTTGGAGGTAAAAGTGCTATGACATATATGCCAGAAAGCAGTGTTAGTTAAAGGGTGTCATGTGAACTCCACACATCGTCCTTGCCGAGCTTGGAGAACATGTTTCTCAGCCTGCATGCTCTCAATGGAGAACTTTGCCTGCTGGCAAAAATCTGATTGCTGATGTGGTGCTGGTGTGGACAATGACTGATTTTGGACTGTATATGACTTACACAATTCAAAGTCTAAGTCGATACTAGTACCATGTGAACAGGACCTGCAGCATGACTAAGCTCTCACCTCACCACAAAGGAAATGTGCCAGGAAAGCTGGGACTGACACCACTGAGTCACTCTCTGACCTGCAGTGCACTCAACTTCAGCCCTGGCGCTGTTGTTTCTGGTGTGAGATCACCTACATGAGTGGCAATGACAGAAAGATTGGCTGGTGGTCATGTAAAGACTCACTGAAGGCCAAAGACTGAGATTGTGAAGAATTGCCCCTGCACCTGCCCACGCGACACCAGGTTAAACCCCAGACAATGTCTGTTCAAAAGTCAAACCAGCAACAGGAGAAGCTGATTGCCAGGTATAGTAGCCCTGCAGGAAAACTACCTTTTCAGTGTCTTATAAATAAAACATTGTATCCAAGAATGGCATTGTATGTATATAAATAAATCAATATTTTACAACTAATAAAGTTTTACAGATTTATAATTAATACCATTTATACTTCAATTAGATTTTTTTTTTTACCTGAGTTGATTTTCTGAATTTTTTTTTTTTGTTGTTGTTAGTTGAATCTTAATTATATACAAAGTTTCCTGCTGGCAAGTATCAGACTAGCTCAAGACAGGCCTTCAGATATGCTATGCTAATGCCTGACACTCAGGAACAGACACTTTTCGTTCTCTTCAATATGTGCATTGCAAGTAGTATTTTAATTGGGCTCCCAATTCAGAAGGCTGGAATGAGCTCGTGAGTCATTTTTACAAGTTGACTCACATGCTACAGAACTGAAGAATTTGGTGCGGGGAAAAAGAAAAAGCAGAAGATGGATTTGTGGATTTCTGCACATCCCTGTCACTGGGGAAAAGGGTAAGTTTGTCCTTAGCACCCACCTGCAGCAGCACAGGGGGTTCAGCAAGTGCATTACTCAGATGAGGCTCTTTTGTCTGTAACTGTTGAAGAAAGGATGCTCTTAGAAGGTTTTTGTTTCAAGAAAGCTGTGATTAAGAGATTATATCAAGTATTATAATTTTGAGATTCTTTTCTCTTTTGAAAAGGCATCACAGGATGCCTGGTTTGAGTGTGTTTCAGTGATTGCATTTCAGTAGTTCCATTTCAAAACTGGGCAACATAGTGACAATAGGGAGAGGGCTCCTCCTCTCCCTTAGGTGCCAGTCCTGCAGACTCAAATTGGAGACAGAGTCAGATTAAGTTCTTTTCTCCCTGCACATCACCACTGAGGAAACGTCCCACAGCTCCCACTGTAGCCATGTGAAAACCCTGTTGTCTTTCTACTGCATTGTCTGCATTGTTTGTGCAACCTCGGAGCCTCAAACCATTTGCTTGGGTGCAAGGGATGGGAACTTAGTCAAAACAAAAGCAAATGGAATAAAACCTATCCTTATTTTTGCTGTATTAGCTTCAAACTCTGGTAAACCCCACATTTATTTACTGAAGCAACTAACTGTAAACTGCAATACACAGAAACTGCAGATATGCTAAGGAAAAGGCTTTTTTGACCTGTCATTTCTCCTGTTATAACTACATTTTAACATTTTTCTTCCATACCCTTGGAGGAATCCATCCAATACACAAATGAAAGGCAAATTCAGAGAAGGCAGAAAATGCCAGGGTGTTTTTCATTGTCCTGAGGACAAATGCCAGAGCCCTTCTGGGACATTCAGAACATCTAGTCACTGTATCTTATTCAAGGGAAAAGCCATCTGTCAACAAACTAATCACTGGACAGATTCAGAGACAAGTGAAAATAAAAAGCCAATACAAACGTGCAGATGAGGTTCTAGTCAGCAACTAGCCACAGAAAACAAACAAATCCCATCCACACAAAGCCTGGCATTTGGGTCCAGCCATTTTTCACTGAAGTCAAAAGCGGTGAGGGAATAATGCAAAGTGATCTTCAAACAGGAACTTTCAAATCAATCAATATGCCTATGGAAGGATGGGCATGAACCAGACCTGGATCCATACCCTACCTATATAAGCCAGTAACAGCAGCGGAATGGAGCATGAACATAACAACTGAGCATCCAACCACATGTTATTATCAGCATTAAAAGCCCTACTACTTAATATTTAAACATTAAATAACGCTGAACAATCTGAGTCTGAGCTCCTGGCTGAGTGCAGCCCTCATTTTTGATTAGAAACACACTACACCAAGGGATGTACTCCAAGTGACTAATGTTCATGGTGGCCAGGATTCTATCACCAGTGAAAAGTGAAGCATCTGCCCCATGTGTGGGCCCAACTCCCATATTTTTTTCATGAATGTCTTCTATGACAAAGGACTTGATGATATGTGGACTAAAATCTTTGCCAGTCTTCTTCTTGAAAAATGAAAGCTCTCTCCCAGGTCACCACAAATACACTTTCCTCAAGCACAAAGCCACGAAGGAGAACACTCTGCAAAGGAGTTCCTCGATGATAAGGCTCTGCTGTTCCTTTATTTTCTAAACATTACTTTGGGATGTACATGCAAATGGAAAAAGGATGTCAATTGTTTTGACTCTGCACCAAATTTGCTTTCATATTAGTGAAAAAACTGAACAGCAGAGGAAAATCAGGGTATTTCAGAACATTACATGTTCCATAATTGAGTTAGACTTCAGTTTCAGCAACACGAAACATGAAAGAAGTACAGCTTAGCACTAGCTGAAATCAACCTGAAGGAGTCAGAACTTCTGAGAGCTAAAATCATAATTGCTTCCTTAAAGGCATCACTTGAATAAAATTAAAAGTGTTTCTCCAAAAGCCTCACTAGCATAGCAACTGATTGGCCCTTGAGGATTCCTATAGATACTTGTCATTCAGCATGAAATCAGGTCAGCAGCTAAAATTAAACACCCACCTCTCCCCTGCACCGCATGTGGAGTCATCGCTTTTAGTATTGCTCAGCCTCTGCCTCCCCAAATGGGTTCATTCTTACCACAAGCTTAAAGGCTGTCTTATCAAGGAGCACTGATGGATACAGTCATTCCTGTTTTGAGATGAAACTGTTGGGAATCAGACTCGCAGTCCCTTTGACTCCATCTGCATTGATTAGTTCTCGGGCAGCCTGCCAAGGCAGTGTGCTGCCTCTTACCCTCGCCACTGTTAATCTGCCTCAGCGAGGCCTGCAAGCCCTATACAAACTGCAATTTCTCTTCATTAGTGTGATTCTGCCTGCATGAATCTGATAACATATGGGATATTATCATAAACCAGCCTATTTCACCAATTCATTTTCTCCTTTATGAAGATTATGAATGTACTGCAAGTGCATAGGCAGGATAAAACAGAGGAGTCTACTGTACAGTTTAGCTTTGATTTAGTTTCTAAAATGCAGATAGCCTTCCTTTTAAGTTCACATTTCCCAATAATCCTGTATTAATATACTATAAAAACTGCTGACTCCCTGATTTTCTCTAATTCATTATGGGCTGATCCACACTCCGTGTCACTTGCCTGGATCGAGACTTTTAACGATGAACAGAGCAAGCAGATGCCACACAATGGAAAAAATGGGAGGTACAGTAACTGTTTAGTCAACCCTAATCACTGCCACAGTCTGACTAAGCATGAACATGAAACATGATCACAGTTTGACTACAGATTATGTAATTCCAAACATATGCTTTATGCCCCCTCGCTTCCTGACTGTTT